GTCTAGAAGCAGGCACAGCAAATATTTGCTGTTAGGAAGTAATTTTCAAGGCTAGACATCAGACACTGTGGTGTCAGGAGGCCCTGAAGGCATACAAGTTCTGTATTCCTTCTTCCAGTGCTCTTGTTCTGTTTTTCATATTTCATTCAAAGTCTCCACTGCTTTCATGTTAATGTTTCTGCTTGTACTTATCCTTCTTAGCCCTTTTTCCTTTGAGCACACTGTAATGTTTCCTTGCTTACAGATAGTGTTGAAATGTTTCTGTGCTATGTGAAAGCACAAAGCTTTGTCACGTTCCATAAACGAAGCAAAAGTGTCCGCAGGCAGACAAATGAAAAGGAAATGTTAACAGGTCTGAGCACTTGGCAAACTGTGGTCCTGGTGACTGTGCAGTTTACGCCCTCCTAGGGCTGACCCCACATAGCTCGCTCACATTTACTCAGACTTTCTGGTCCTGCCTTATCCTGTGGCATCAATACCGTTAACATCAGAGCCAGGGAAGTATGAGTCCTCTTATGAGGCAGGTAACATACAATTTGAGGAAAGAAGTCCAGTTTCCTGGAAATCCTGTGCAATGAATAAAGGAGCATGATTTGTTTGTGTGCATGCATGTGACTGATAGAAGTATGTTAAAAAAGTGGATCTTTAAAGGTCCTAAGTACGCGCACTGGAGTACGTTTGACCCTTCCTTGCCACTGATTTATGCTGGTGCAGGATTCTCTGGGTTAGAATGTCCTTGAAATGTGTTTATCCATATTCCACAACATCTCATGGAGCCTGTGTTGCTGTACAGGGGAGGTTTTTGTGATCAATTAGGGGCTGCATCACAGTTGCAGTAACACATTTCTTCCTTTGCTTGGGATGCTAACCTAAGTGGGTCATTTGTGTTTGTAAGCATGAAAGGGAAGATTTTAGTGCTTAAAAATGTATTTTATTTATATGAGGATCCATTGTTTTTCAGAGACTTCTCATTTACTTTTATTTCAGGCCACTTTTATTGATCTAACCAAATATGGAATGGTCTTTTCCTCTTTGTCCCCAACTCATTCTTCAGTGACTCCCTCTTCCCCTGCACAACACGTACATCTACGGCGGAGGTTTTTTTTCAGCCTAACCTATTGGCAACTTACTTGTAATTACAATAGGAATTTTAATTCACTGTAAAGAGAACTGATGGATGTATAATTAACTAATGACAGTCTGTGGGACTAAGCATAGCAAAGTGAAAGCCGTAAAAGTTCAGAGCAACTGAGGTAAAACTTCATGTCTTCTCTGCAGCACATGGAAAAGTGAGTTCTGCCAGGCTGGTAAAATTGAGGAGATAGTTTGAGAGCTTGGGAGGACAATCATCTTGAAGTGTTGGTAAAGAGCAGAAGGAGTAGAGGGTGAGAACTGCAGGAAGACCTGCATCTTTCTCTCCCCATTTTTTCCACTGTGATCTCATAATGAGAATGAACCTCCTATGCAGATCTGATTTCAGAGGCCAGATGCTCTTGGATGGGGCTACCCTTCTCCATAACCCTTAACTCTTCCCTCTGCATGTGTCCATTGGCAGCAGTAGCAGAAGTCCCAACTCTGCTGCACAGACACAGAGACCAGTGGGTTGGGTTGCCCTGGGAAAAGGAACAGGCCAAGAAGACCATGTATCTGCTCCCCCTTGGACAGGCAGGCTTTCAGTGCTAACAGGATGGCTTTGCCTGTGCCAACCTGATCCAGAGAACTGCTTGTGGACAAGCTGGCCTCTCAGGGAGTATGGAGGGAATTTTGTTCCTAATAGCCATAGTGCTTCTCCTTCAGGGGCTGAGCAGGCAGGACACGGAGCTGTCTCCTTGCCTCTGATTCTGTTTGCTCTGTTTGATGAACTCCAATGAGGTTATTGAGGCTGCGGTGAGGTGAGCCTGGCCTGTCTGGGGACTGGATCCTCTGGTCTGCCAGGTTTGCTTGGTATTGTCTGCTGGAGATTTCCATGGGGTGCTCTGCCTGTTTTAAGGAGAATCTCAGCTCTGTTCTGGAATCCTGGTGTGAGGGAAAGATGAGTGTGTGGAGGGACAGGGAGCAAAACTGAATTTAACCTACAGTCTTCAGAAACAAGCGTTATCATAATGACAATGGGATGTCATAATGAGTCCCTACAGCCATCATACTGTTGCATGTGGTTGCTGCTAGGGCAGAGTGGTGTATCAGGAGCCTGCTCTTCACTGTCACTGTTGCTGTTGCACTGAGTCCTGGATTTAGGCCATCTAAATTTAGCCCCCAGCCCTAAACCTCAGTCATACACCTGAATCTTCCTACGGCTGCCTTAATGCTGCCTGCATGCAGGGTCATAACCCTCTTGGTTATAAAAAGAACACTGACTTGGGAAGGAGCTGTATCCATTTTCTATCTGTTCCCACATCCTGAAATACTCCTACCTGTCCTTTTGTGCATCCCTCCTTTTAACGTTGTTACCTTTTACCGTGTAAATGAAGAAACTTCAGATCTGTGCAGGGTGGCGATGAGTAGCTCCCTGTACAGATGCAGCTCATGTTGAAAAGCAACCTGAGTAAAAATGTTAAAATTCCCCTAAATACTGAGATAATGTCTAGCACGTAGTTTTAAATAACAGGTAGTTCTTGATCCGCCATAGCGTTTCCAGTGACTCAGTGTGTCCCCCCCCCACACTCCCTTGCAGTAATTACAGAGGAGTATTGTAATTCCTGACTCAGAGGGAGGCTTCCTTTCAAGGTTTTTGCCTGTGCTGGAGTTCCAGCTCTGCAGCTGTATGGAAAAATTGTGGGGGACATCATGGTAGCAGATCCCAGGACTGCACCAACAATAATGTAGGACTGGCACATTTTTGAACTAGTGATAGGAAGCCATAAAATGGAGAGTTTGTTTTGGATTTGTGATCAGGAATTTGGTTGCCAGAATCTTGGCTATGACTCTTGTATCTCTTGAAACTGGGTGCTTATAACAAAGACATCCCAAGGTACAAATCTGGTGGCTTCTCTGACAGGCTAGGCTAAAAAACTTCAAAGTGAAAAAATTAGAAAGGGGTAAGTGTGCTCTGACCCAGATTTGTTGTGGTTGCACGACATTTGAAAGGAAAGTGTGTTCCTGCAGATTGTGGGAGCACAAGTCATGAAGCTTAGGAGACAGGTCTGGGGATGGGGCTCGCTGTGCATCAGATTATGAAATGGAAACTGTGGGGAAGGGTTCCATGTGCATTGGACTTGAACTCCATGAGCCTCATTATTTCTCCCTCTATGGAGGAATTCAGCACGTACTGCAAGTCAGTAAGTCACATACACACTGACTATCTGCAGCTGGCCTGGCTGCTCTGGGAGCCACAGAATGGCAGCAGGGACATGCTGCCAAATGTGACCTGACAGCTCTGCCACGAGGACGCTCAGGACTGCAGGGAAGGCCAGCAGAAGTGGACCAAAGGGCTTGAGTCTCCTGTTTATCTTCTGAGATGTCAAATCTGACAGACACATGGATGGGTCTTGATCGGTTTCGTGTTCAGGCAACCTCCGTTCGTGATGCAGATCTTTAGGTTTAGTGGAGATGCACTCTTGGTGCCGCTGCAAGCATCTGTGTACAGCTGACCACCACGTCTCTACTTGTAACAAGTAGGTGTGAAGGTCAGCTTGCCACCACCTAAGTGTGTTCAGAAGCAGGTCTTTGAAAATTGGGTCAAGTTTCTTAGAGACAGGAATAGATTTTCCTGTGCCTTAAATGCTGCAGTGAACCCCACTGTCTATGTTGAGGCAAATAAAATCTGCAAATGTGCTTTGCATTGTTTCAGCTTAAGCTTGAGGATATTCTTTTTAATTCTTTTTTCAGTGTTACTGTGAAGGTATGAGGGTCTTGAAATTTTTTATGATTATGGTGCAGTGTTTTCAAATGCTTAGGCCATAAAACATTACCTCTGAGCATGATATTTCCATTTTTTGCTCATCAAAGAATAGAAATTTCTTCCCCAATCATTGCTGTGATGTGTGGTGAAAACATGGCTATTCTGAGCATCTTCCTGTCAAAGTGTTAGTGCACTTAGTTCTTGGTTCACAAACCTCAGTTAGATGCCTAGGAGCCCTATGAAATAAATAGAAGATCTGGATGCCAGGGAGTGGGATGCACAAAAGCTACTGTCTGGCATCATCAAGGCAAAGCAGAAAAGAGTACTGCACATGAAATACTCTTACTCATTTGTATTTAAGCTTCAGCCCTGTATGAAGTAGGACATGCAATCTGAAACCTTTTCCTGGGTTTAGATGCTTTCCCTATCCATCTTGTAGTAGACTACCAGCTTGCCATCTCAGTGACAACTCATGGAGAAGGTGGAGTACGTGGTACCCACCACTCACATTACAAACTGAATATTTGAAATGCTTGCCTGGAAAGTGAGAATCTGTTCTTGTCTTGCACTGCTCAGGGAAGCTCCCGAGCCATCAGATGAAATAGTGTGAGTAGAGACACTCACTGGAACTGTGTGGGTGCAACAAAGACTGAAGGATCTCGTAGGGATAGGAGGGGAATGACTCTGAAGCTCATTTGAAAAGGCAGAGTGATATATATCTATGTACATATGAATCAGTTTATTTTTTTAATTAACAATTTATTTTCCCAAATCATGTCCCTGCTTCTAGGACTTCGGTGAGGGCTCTGACCATTGTACTGTTGCATGTAATATAGGTAATGCCCCATCTGTATGAGTTTTGGTTTGTGTTTGTTTGGTTTTTTCTTTAATTTGATGTTAAGCAGCCTGACTGCACTGCTTTGTGCCAGTAAGATGAACGTTCTCTGAGAACGCAGCCAAGTTCAGGTCTTTTGATGAGGTAGGCTCTCAGTCACTTTCTTTATAAATTTTGAGTGGCCTAAAGTGGGAGACTGGCCCTAAGATGTCAAGTAGTACATTTGGGTGTGGTGGTGCTTTTATGGGTGTTAGATGTAAATTCACAGGCCTATAGAAGTGACTACATGGCTTGTGTGATGTTTCAACTATCAATTTCTCTTTTCAGGCTGAGTGGACTATTAATGACTGAATGGGCTCTGCTGGGAAGGCTTGTCCTCACACCATGACAGCTGATGTGTCAGAAGCTGGAGAGCTAGCTCTGGAGCCTCTACTCACTTGCAAGCTATGTCTCTGTGAATATTCCCTGGATAAGATGACCACTCTTCAGGAATGCAGCTGCATCTTTTGTACAGCGGTAAGATCTACAATGCCTTTACATTACAGAAGCAGGGTAATGGAAGATAGAACTGTGAAATGTGATTGTTTGTCTTGTACAAGAAGCATATGTTACCCATGCTGACAGAGGATGCTTTTCTAAAGAGCATGTGGTGTTAGTCTGTCTTGCCTTATTTAAAAGATTTCTCTGTCATTCTGGTTTTGAAAATTCATAACTCTAACAGATGGTCCCATAGCAAATAATAACAAATCCCAGTAATAAATGGGAAAAAAGATGCATTTTAAGACTGTTGGAGAACATACACAGTCTGTATGTAATCTCAGTATTTATTTTTTCTGAAGCAAAATCTTGAAACATCATAAGATAGCTGTGAGGTGTTGTTTCCCTGTTATCATTTTCTGAGTTCTCAGAGACATTTAAAGTCTTCTACTTAACTTTTAAGGACAATGAAAAAACCTAAACAAAAATGAACCTTGGCCTATTGAACCTTTGCCTCTCTGCAGTCTGTGCTGCAGAGATGTTGCCCAGGTCATGCATTGCCTATGGTTGTAAGTAAAGACTTTCTGTCCTGCAAATTCAGATCAAATAAAGCTGGTGGAAATGATAAAGGGAGAGGTTGAATGAACTGATAAGAGCCCTACAGATAGTAACAGTCTTCTGGTCTCTTTGTCAGCATGCAAAAATGGGTGTAGTTTCTCTGGTGATAGTGACTTTGATGTGGCTGACTAATGGATTTCGGAAACAGGTCAGAAGTCACTGGAGGATGTTGGTGTTGGTTTTTTTTTTTTAACTCCCAAATAAATGTACCTGGCTTTATTTTTTTAACAATGAATTTTGGATAAGTATCAGTCAAGTATGTTTAAGTTTTATCCTTGGTTGTTTGAACTCATAGAAGAAATTTGATATTTGTGAAGCCATCTTGAGTGAAAATATCTTCACTTATGCTGAACTCAGGGTAGCTTAAATAGGATGACAATCTAGCTGTGTGCTTCAAGAAACTAGGGTAAGATTGATTAATATGCATTTCAACCTGACGTTCATGAAGTTTGTTTCCCATACTGACTTCCACAAAACAATTTTGTATTTTAGTTCGTAACAAAAATTTTAAGAGCACATACCTAAAAGATTAGGTAGGAAGATACTGCTTTAAATTGAAAAAAAAAAATAAATGGAGAAGTTGATACTTCTACAGTGGTCCCATTCTTCTCTAAGAACTCAGTGTCTCTGATTTAGTATCATTAACGGCACATTAACTCAATGTTAGCTGCGTGGAGTAATCCTTCTGCCCTTGGAGAAAGGAGAGTTGCTGAGGCCTGTGCCAGGAAGAGCTGGACTCTCTGCTCCTCCAGGACACTGGCCAAAGGGAGAGGTTGGTGATGGCTTGGAGTTGTTGCTGTCCCCACCTATTGTTCCCTGTTGGTGCCACAGCTTCCACCCCATCCACACACCCCTTATGTGGCCAGTAGCAAGAAGAGCATCTCCTGTGAGCTTGGCTCTCCAGTGCCATGACAGCGACGTGGAAACTGCAGTCACAGTTGTTTGCCATCTGTGCAAACTTCACTGACTTTGTCTAAACCAAGAGCCAGCCATGAGTGAGCACCGAATGCAGCTGGGAGAAGCCTTTAGACATGCTCTATTTATTTCAGTGGGTGTAATATGTCTCGACTGTGCTTACGCTCCACGTCTACCCCTTGTCTGACTGTTGTTGTCTGTGTCTGAATGTCCTCCCGATGGACATGTCTGGGCTGATGAAATAGAGACGTGTAGAACTTGCATCCTGTAACAAGAGGGGTTCTGGAAACTTTTAACCTGGCTTTATGGCTTTCTGTCTTGAATCCAGAGCAGTTTCTGTGAGGCCATATGAGTTGCTCACTCGAGCAGCCTCCATAGAGCAGTGTCAGAAGCAGCTTGACCCAAAGTGCCTCGGTGCTGGGGCTTGCATGGGAGATTGCTCGGGGCACAGCCTGCAGCAGCTACACTGGTGTGCCATGCCCAAAATTTCCTCCCACTCATGCCAGGGCATCTAGATACCTTCACACTACCCTTAAGACAGATGTTGGAGTAAGAGTGTCAGCTGTGAGCTATGGGATCGAGCCCATATCTTTTTCGGCTAACAATGCTTTCAGCTTGTATAGCTTATTCTTATTTTCTGTCACTAAGGTTAATTTTATAGATCCAAGAGTAGTATTAAATTTGAAGTACAAAGGGGCTTGACGTGGACATAATGGGTTCTGCTCCACTGAGATGAAACAATTAGTTTTGTTAAATTTTCATTCTGTTACATTTTTTTTCTAACAATAACAGTGATTCTGCAACTATGATTATTTTTCACTACAGCATTTGTGGCTTTGGAAATAACTGGAAATTGTTACTATTTAGACATCTGCAGGGGGTGAGATTATATTTCCTTTTCATTTGTAGCCTGTAAAACCAAGGCAATCAAATGAGTTGGAATTTTGTACAGCTATGTTTTCAGCTCAGAAACTCTTGCAATAAACATTATACAGTGTAAAAGCTGTGTTCTAGCCAAAGTAAGCAAACTGTGTTTAAGAAGGTGTATGTTTGCATTTTGGTGGAATGTTGCTAGTAAGACAGGAGTTTTTCAAATAGCTATAAACATTTTTACTCCCTCTGTTTAGAGCAGAGAAAGCAGATGATTTGCAGAACCCACTTGCCATCTTGTCGAGGACCAAGAATTAGAATGGGAACGATTTCAGAAGTGGAAAAATATGTACAGCGATTGAATGGACTTTATGATGTAGACTTTACAGTTATTATGTATATACTCATTGTATGTTTCCCCAGAATTTGTGTTTCCTGGGCATGTCCCGGCTTGTTCACTTCTCTGCTCCCCTGTTTCTCTGCTGATTGGCCGGAGAAGCTGCAGAGAGGAGACAGCCCCCATTTACCCTTCCCCGGTTCCTCCTGCTCTCCTCCCCCTTTTGCCCATGTCCCTATCCTGGTTTGTCCCCCTGCTTGTCTGTCTCATACTCCGCCCCATATTCTGGCCCTTTCCCCTCCTGAGTTGATAAAAAACCGTGTGCACACTGGAATAAAGGATTTTACCTGCACCCCACCTTGTGTCCTGGACCCGTGCTGTGCCACGGCCCCATCCCTCCTTCGGACTGTGGCACCATCTGACAGTGGTAGCCCAACCAGGTCTGAAGAGGCCTCAGCTTTGTATTTCTCACCATTTTTTGCACTTGGCATAGGACTCCATTGGAATGTGAGATAAAGCAAACATTCACACATTCCAAGAGTCTGGAAATGGCTATAGTGTACCGGATGACTTGATTTCATTGTGTTTGGATTTATATTAGTTTTGAATGAAAGGCTGGTCTCTGCAGAGGGTTGGGTAAGGATGTGAGGTATATTTTATCTGCAAAAGTTTTAGAGGACTGCACTTTACATTATTCAGTTCATTTCCTATACCTGTAAAACCTTTGCAGAGTGCCATGCTGTGGTGCACTCTCTTACATACCGATCTTCAGCAATATATGTATTGCTTAAGCTGCATGGTTTTATGCTACTTGCCTCATTCACAAAAATGGAGGGGGTCTCATGTGTTCCTCATACTGCTTATCTCATTTCTTATCTTGCCACTCATCCTTGTATATTTGGTGGACGTCCTTCTGATCAGCAGTCCCTTGTGTTTACCTGGTGTTGTAATTTTTTCTTCCTTGGATATGCAACTACACAGATTTTTGCCCCTGTGGTGGTCACAGGGCTTACATATGTACATAAAATAATTATACATTGTGTCTGGCTACATCATCACAATATTGCAGTATTTTGGTGCACTTATATCCAAAGCAAACTAATGATAATTACATCCTGATTGATCCACTTACAAAATAATATTTTGAATATTATACTTATTTCTAATCAGATTTCCTCCATGTTTGCTCTTCTTCATTCTCCAGAGAGCTCTAGCAGTGCTCTTACCTCACTCAGATAGGACTCAGGAGCACTGTGGTGGGGTAGTGCCAAAAATAGGTGGGCCATCCTCCCCGCTTTGCCTTTGAGTGTTGCCCAGGTTTGGTGCTCATTAAACTGGCTGGGAAGTATACATCTTGGAGACTCCCACCTTTTCAAAACTTGGCTGAAACTGGGAAAATGTCAGGGAGAGACAATGAGCGGTGGGATCACGTGCATCTCTCATCCTCTTGCTGGAAGTGCCCTGGTGTCTAGCACAGCATAATTAACCCTTTGGAAGCACTAGTGAGGAGTGCAGGACTGCAATAATATTGGAAATACCAAGGGCCCTGTGAGAGATTTTAGCAGATGTGATAAGATTGCCCTGGTGGTGATGATGAAAGAGAACCAGTGCAGTGCTGTTATGAAGAAGGTGGTCTTAGGGGGTCAGTAAAAAAACTGATGTCAGCTTTTTCCCCGCACATCTATTCTTTTTGGTTTTGCCTTTCCTATTTTTTCCACTACTTCTAAGCAATAAATGGCATTGCTGCTATTTATGTCAAGTAGCAGCTTACATCCATCTAGCTTGTGTGTTATTTACTGGCACAGGGTTCGAGATGCTGAAGACAACATGTAACAAATTGAAAACAGAAGATGCTTTCAAGTATGTTATTCTGTTGTCAGCACAGGTTTATGCAGAACTAGCATGATTCACCCTTCTTTTTTCCCAAGCAGATTCTTTGTTCAGTCTTGTGCTTCTGAGAAATGTGTGAGGCAACTGGGTTACAAACGTGCAAAACAAATACCATGATGATCCACCTGTTTCCTATTTTGGTGCACAAAATAAAGTCAAAATGAGATTAAACTTAATGTAGCCTTAAAAGCAGAAATCGGTGTGGAAGTCCAGGTAACTTCCATACTGTCTTATGCTTCTGTAAGTAGAAGATATTCTGAAGACATTTGGAGAAAAAAAATTCTGCTTGTAGCTATGTGTTACAGCAAGGCTAGGGCTAGACATGGACTGAAAAGGTTCTTTTTGCTGCTGTGGACATTCTGGTGCCCTGGGCAGCTACCTGCCTGGCAAGTCAGGCCCTTGGGAGGCT